CGGCATACTTTTGGTGTGTTTACGTGCATAAAGTTCCCGTACTCCTCCGACATGTAGTTGATGATCTTTCGACCAATGTAAAACTCGATTTTCAAAAAAATAACACTTGATTTTCAAAAAACGTCCAGCCAGTAACGCTCGTTGCAATGCATTATATTCGTTAGCGCCTGCTGCAACCTCAAACACGCATAAGGGTTTCCCTCATACAGTTCCTGATGTGAAGTGGTTTCACAGTACTTTGTCCAAATCATGACATTGCTTGAGGTGTGACTAAGTCATTTTTGAAGGGTTGTTCACTTTCAACCCCTCAAAATGTTCAGTGGCATTGGGGATAGCCCTACATATTTTTATTTATTTATATTTGGCGCTCTCTATGAGCCACAACAGCAGGAGTATGCCAATAACACAGTAACTATGCTGCATTTGCAAAAAAAAAAAAAAAAAATCTAGTCCAAATATTGGATATGACATAAATAGAGCCTTGAATATGTCAACAAACCACAGGAAAAGAATTTCTGCTTTTTTATTCAATAGCCATTTTAGACCAAATGTGACATACTCCGTATTATGTCTGAATAATGGTTGGTTTTGAGGTGTGATAACTAAGTTATTTTTGAAGGGCATTTCACTTTCAACCACTCAAAATGTTCAGTGACATCAGACCTAGCCGTACATATGTAGTTTGGATTGCTTTTTTTCTTCTGTATGAATAAGAAAATGAGAATTGTGTTATGACTCTATACAAGTAACTCTAACTCGATATGTCCGATATTGTGGATTGCGTGTATATATCTAAAACACGCAATACACAATAGTGAAAAAAATGTACATGGTAATTAGAACCTTGAAAAGGTAAAAAAGTCAAAAAAAACTATGAAAAATGTTGAAGTAACATACAGTCATAGCTCGGTTTTCGACCATAATAAGTTCCAGCAGGCTGTTCGAAAACCGATTTGTTCGAAAACCAAAACCACACTCTTTTTTCCCAAAAAAACTTTATTGAACACGTCTGCTCACAATGGAACACTACACGAGGAAGCGTCACTTCCTCGTCTACCCGAGGAAGCGTCACTTCATCGTGTAAAGGCGAGAGGAGTCAAGCGGCGCATTCAAGTGCGCTCAGTTTGGTCGAGAACCGATTTTCGGTCGTAATCCGAGGCATAAAAAAAACTAAATTTTTGGTCGAAAACCGATTCAGTCGAGAACAGAGATGTTCGAAAACCGATGTTTGACTGTACTTTATAACAAACAAAACAACCAGCAACTACTATACAAACTTAACAACGAGAACAAAGAACAAACACTTTTTTTTTTTAACAATATAAACAAATCGACAATAGTGTGTTTGTGGCAGATTACCTTCCCACATCTGCCACAAAAATTTGAAGCTCGAAGAGGCTTCTCGCAGTAGCTACACTGCTTCGCAGGTCCTCTTCGTACTGCTGCTGCCCCAGCCTGCTGTGCAACTGCACCTGAAGCCCTCTTTGCCCTCCTTGTACATTCGGGCTCAGTGAAGGCCATTCCCACCTCACTCATATAAACAAAACAAAAGCATTGAACAAAGAAATGTCAATCATGTGGTAGAAGAGATCTTTGTGTTCGCCTCTGGGTTGTGTAGCACATGCAGGCCTGCAAAACAAAACAAAACAAAACAAAACAAAACGTCAGATGTCAAGACAGCTTTATAGAACACGAGCTGGAGACTGTCACAGACAAAATTTGTGCTTACTTGGTCCAGGTGATCCACTGCACCCTTGCATTTGTTGTAAGCCAAACTCATTTGTGGCTTTTGTTTTGGACCCTCCTCCAGCTGTGATTCACGATGTTTCGTGTTGAGGAATTTGTTTTGCTCGGTTACTGACGATATAAAGAAAATACTCATTAAATTCATTCGCTATTTCTGCAATTTTCTCAAACATAGTATTTTGGTCTTTATTTGAAGTACTCTGTATAATCTACTTTTCAAGGACGAATTCTGATTACGTGATTTAGTATGTTCCATATTTCATGTGTGTTGCTTTTATTCTGCTCTAATAATGCATGGCAATGATCTCTCTTACGAGTGCTACACAGCTATCAAACACACCTATTTGTGTGTGTTTGTGTGTGTGTGTGTGTGTGTGTGTGTGTGTGTGTGTGTGTGTGTGTGTGTGTACCTTCATATTTGTTTTCTGGCTCTCTGCAAACTTCTGGAACGTTTCCTCCATACATTTCTGGAACTGGTCAACCCTTGTTTTTCTTCTTTTTCCTGGCTTTGAGGTAGACCTATTCCCGAAGCTGACATCACTGCTTTCTTGATCCTCATGATCGTTACTGCTGTCTTCACCGCTTAAATCATCTACACTTGGACTGGGAGCGGGGGTGCACGGCCGGGCTTCGTCCGTGTCGCTTGTCCCCTCGTCACTGTCGACCGGGGTCGGATTCCATGCATCTGGTCGCGTGCTCGGGCCAGGGGTCGGAGAGTTAATAGAAGCGCCAATGGCGACGAGGTGGTGCGGCACACTGGCTGGGCGATGCCCGAGGATGTCATTAAGTCGATCATAAAATTTGCATGTTTTTCTCCCTCTAGCAGACTTTTTGTTGTTATCTGTTATTTTTTTGTATTCTTGTCTGAGGCCTTTGATTTTCTGGCAGCACTGATCGCCAGTGCGGTGAAAACCTTAGGATCGCATGTTCTCACCTATTTTTTGAAAAACTGCTTTATTCCTCCTGGATTCTTCTAATTGGGCTTGGATGGTCGGTCCCGTCAGCCCAAATTGTTATCAGGGCTGAAGTTTCATTGTCGCCCCAGTTCCCCCCCCCCCCCCCATATCTGTTCTTATCGCACGTGTTGTGGTTGTAGTTACTCGCCATGTTTTGAAGCGCAAAATACCCAGGATGCAAGTTTGCAAGGACTCCTCTTCCGCGAAGCGAGGCCACTCCCCCTGCAAGCGAGCATTTGCTCCAGAGCAAATTTTTAACCTCGTAGAGTTCACACGTACCATTTTACATCGGTGCTGCCCCGCAAACGAGCATTTGCTCCGGAGCAAATATTTAAACTACCTCCCTGAGGTGGGTTAAATTTGTTCCGGAGTAAGCTGTTTTAAGGGGCTACACCTGTGTAACTTTGCACGTGTGAACGCTCAACTGGGGCAGCACCGGAGCAAATGTTGCCGTGTGAACACCCCTTATGTGTGCCAGGCGACTGGCTGGCGACGAGTTCAGAGTGTAATCCGCCTTCTGCCCAAAGTCAGTTAGGACATGCCTGTGACCCTCATGAGGATAACCAGTTCGGATGGATGGATGGAACGTACCTCTAAATATATTCTTTTAAGTTTATACAACAAAACATACTTGGAATTTAATTTGGGAAACCTTACATAGAGTAAAATTCCCTCTACAATGAAACCTACATGTGGGAAAATACCCCCCAGTGTGAAAAAATCTTGATGCATGAAAGCCATTCCCTCCTTTCTGCTTCCCCCTACAACGAAAAGCCCCCCTGTTGCGTAATGCGAAATCCTTTTCTCTACCCTCGCCTCGCAGTGAGGTTCACGACAATGAAAACAAGCTTTCCGCAAAATAATCCAACCTCAGCCTGCCACAGCTACTCGTACTGCTTAACTAGGAAACTTCAACAACCACCACCACACTATTTTACACATGCGCAGTAGTACAGGAGGTATTTGTTATTGTTAGAACATGGTTCGAAACGTCATCACTCGTAGTTTCAGACACTGTACGAACGTTGGATTGTTTGGTATAAAATGGCTACGGGTGCTTGGTTATGCGTCATATCAGTAAGTTCTGCAAAAAAAGAACAGAATAGAAGGAATGTACTTTAAAACACCCGGACATCCGACACAAAGTTAAGGAAGCAGACTTGGCCTCCCAGGAAAACAACATTGATGCTCAAGAAGAACAGCGCATGGTTAGTTTGCACAAGAAGCTCAAAAAGGATCCAAGTTTCTATGATCATCCCACATGCAGTAATATTGATAGTTACGTTCTCGGTATTTGTCCCAAATTGGGTTGCGCTTTGAGGTGTGACAACTTTTTTCACTTTTGAATTTTTTTTCGCCTTCAACTTTCAAAATGTTCAGTGGCATCAGGCCAAGACATACATATATTTATTCATTTATTTATTTATATTTGGCGCCCTCTATGAGCCACAGCAGCAGGAGTGTGTCAATCACACAGTAACTATGCTGCATATGTAAATTAAAAAAAAAAAACACCTAGTCCAAATCTTGCATATGAAATAAATAGAGCCTTGAATATGTCAACAAACTGCAGGAACATAATTTTATTTCATGCCTGCTTTTTTCTGCAATGGCCATTTCAAATAAATGCGACATAAAACATATTTGTCCCGCATTGGGCTACGCTTTTGAGGTGTGATAACTAAGTCATTTTTGAAATTCTTTTCACTTTCAACCCCTCAAAATGTTCAGTGGCATCAGACCTAGCCATACATATATAGTTTGTATTGCTTTTTTCTTCTGTATGAATAACAAAATGAGTATTGTGTTATTACTCTGTATAAGGAACTCTAACTCTATATGTCCGATATTGTGTATTGCGTGGATAGAGATATCAGAGTGAAAAAATGTTGTACATGGTAATTAGAACCTTAGATATCAGAGTGAAAAAATATTGTACATGGTAATTAGAACCTTGAAAAAGTCAAAAAGGCACAAAAACCATGAACATTTTTGAAGTAACATACTTTATAACAAACAAACAAAACAAAGCAACTAATATACAAACTTGATAACAAATACAAAGAACAAACACAACACTTAACTTTTTTTTTTTTTGAACATTCTTGACAAATGGTTGTTGTGTGTTTGTGGCAGATGGCCCTTCCACATCTGCCACAATAATTTGACGTGCGAAGTCGTTTCTCACAAATGCTGCATTGCTTTCTCCTTCTTGAATCTCCTCTTCCTGTCGCTGCTGCCCCGGCCTGCTGTGCAGCTGCACCAGGAGCCCTCTTTGCCCTCCTCAGGCATTCAAACTATAACACTTGATTTTCAAAACAACGTCCAGCCAGTAACTATTGTTACGCATTGAGGTTGCGCGTGCTGCAACCTCAAACAAGCCAATCATGCTCGTGCAACACACGCCCAGGGCACTGGACATGCGCGTGCACAAATGCACATTGTGCGTGCGCGATCTACTGGCGTGAAGACGAGGAAAAAGACTGACGAGCCCAGCATTTCAAATGGCCGTAAGGACATTGCTAAAACGTGGCTGTTTCGCCTGTGCTCAGCGCGTTCACGTGAACGCGCGTCACGTTCATTACGAGACCACACGGCCGGAGCATGCATTGCATAACAGCTTGACCAATTCAAAAGTCGATTTTCAAAAAATAACACCAGATTTTCCAAAAAACACCCAGCTAGCAATGCTCTACAAACTGCATTACATTGTTTTGCACGTGCGCGCGAGCGTGCACGTGCAAACCAATGTAATTTATGTGCAACATACGCGGGTCGGACATCTTAAGAGGTGACACCAGGAAGTTGAGTCTGTCTGGCTGACGTCTCCGCAAGAGACGCGTACGACCTTACAATCCAATGTGCACAAAATGGCGGAAAAGTACTACTTTGATGTCTTTGCTCATTACTGTTAGATGTGACGTGCCCGTACGATCATGTCCATACACACAGATGCAAATAGACCTCGCCCCACAAACTAGACCGTTTATTCGAATGAAAATGACGAACTGGATGTTTCCTCAATGACGTAAAGAGTCGGCACGAGAATTATATCTTACGCTCTAGCGCCATCTCGTGGAAAGTGAGGTAAAACTCTCGTATTTCAATTCTCAAGCTTTGATCGTATTAGTGAGCCGCCGGTGATGTGATTTGTGCAGAGATTTGGAAAAATGCATGATGAAACATCAGTTTTACAGTCTATTGAAAATTGGAATTTATAATGGGCGTCAATGTGTCCTTTTTGGGATTTTTACTGCCCTTGTAGGCCAAATATGTCACGATGTCATATATACCAACTGTAATGTTCAAAAATGTCCAGCTTGCTGTCATTTTGAACTTTGAGCCCTTTTGACATCCTATGCAAAATTCCAGCTTCGTGGAGTTATTTTTCACTCTTTTGGCTGTGTGTACAATTGTCCAACTGTCCAAAAATGACCCAATTTGGGATAGGTACTGCATGAGGATGAAGACTGCAAGGCGTTCATGGATACCGTCATTCAAAAGGGATATGACATTCGGGCCCCAAATGATCAGCTGAACAGAGACGATGGCAGATTATCATACATACCGCACCATGGGGTGTATCACCCTAAGAAAAGAAAAATGCGAGTGGTCTTTGATTGTGCCACATCTCTTCAAGACCAGTCTCTGAATAGTTGACTGCTACAAGGCCCCGACATGACCAATACCCT